TAGACCAGGCTGACCTGGAACTCACAGATTCAGCTATCTCTGCCTCCCAAGGGCTGGGTTAAAGGTGTGTGGCACCACACACAGCTCTTCTTAGTGAACCTCTGTCACCAAATTGGAGTTGGCTGATTCAGGTAGGCTGGGTGGTCAGCAAGCTCTAGGGATCAGCCTGTCTCTACTTCCCCAGCACTGAGACTATAGACACACGCACCTGAGCTCAACTTTGAAAAGCATGGGTTATGGGGATTCAAATTCATACTTGCATGGCAGTCATTTTCTGACTGAGGCATCTTTCCAGTGCTTAACTATTAAAACTTTGTTTTTTATTTTTCAAGACAGAGTTTCTCTGCAAAGTCCTGGCTATCCTAAAACTCACTCTGTAGACCAGGCTGGCCTGGAATGCAGAGATCCTCCTGCTTCTTCCTCCCTTGTGCTAGGATTAAAGATGTGTGCCACCACTGTCCAGCTCTCATTAAAACCTTTAAAATCACATTTATTTATGTATTTATGTATTTATTTAGTGTGTGTGTTTAGGGGGGCAGTAGGTACAGGCCATTGCACAAAGGTCAGAGGAAAACTTGGAGGAGTTGGGTCTTGGGGATTGAACTGAGATGGTGAGGCTTGGCAACAAGCTTCTTTACCTGCTGAGCCATCTGTTCCAATTTTTACGTGTATAATACTGAATAGCTGTAGCCACATCCATCTCTGTAACTCTATTAATCCTATACAACTGAAACTATATATCATTTTAAAATAATAATTCATAATTTTTATTCAGCCCCTGGCAACTAAGTATTATATTTTTTGATTGATTTCTGACTGTTGTAGGTTATTTTGTACATTTTGCATTGGTGTGTTCAGTATTTATTCTTTTTTGTGACTGGTTTATTTCACTTAGAATAGACTCCTTGACATTCATCCATTGCAGAATATCTTTCTTTTTAAGACTGAATTATAATGCACTATTATGTGGATATATACCACAGTTTGCTTACCTGTTCATCTGTAGATGAATAATTTGCTCCACTATTTTAGATGTTTGGAATAATACTGCTATGATTTTGGGTGGACAACTACCTCTGAAAACCCCTGTTTTCAAAGCTAAGCAGGATGGCACATGACTGTAATACTAGCACTCAGGAGGCAGAGGCAGGGGGATGTGCTGGCAGTTGGAGGCCAGCCTAGTCTGCACAGCAAGCTTCAGGCCAGCCAGGACTACATAGTTAGATCTTGTCTCAAAAGAACCCAAACCAAAAGGAACAATAATGAATACTCCTGGACTCTCTTTTCAGTTTCTCCTATGCCTAGAGGTAGGAGGATTGCTATGTCACATTGTAGCTCTGTTTAACTTTTCCCAATGTGGCTTTGTCATAGGCGGTTTAGCTTTTGTTTTTGATAATGTAGTGGCCACTTTTTAAAAGTCTTTTAATTTTTTTATTGGTTTTTGATTGTGTGTGTCTCTTTGTTGGTATGTTCATGTGAATGCAGATCTTTGTAGGTTAGATACTTCAGATCCCCCTTGAGCTGGAGTTACAGTTATGTTCCTGATGTGACTGCCATGGAGCCCTGGCTAGAGGTCTCCTTCTGTAGACCAGGCTTGCCTCAAACACACAGAGATTCCCCTGCCTCTCTCTCCCTAGCTTTAGGGTTAAAGGTGTGTACCGCCACACCTTCCTTTACTGTTGAGCTCTCTCTCCAGCCCTGCTTTTTGTTGTTGTTGTTGTTAAGACAGTTTCATGAAACCCAGACTGGTGACCCTGAACTCCATCAATTATAGGCGGGTGCCATCACACCTGGTTCATGCCCATCGTGTAGGCACTCTGCCAATCACATTAACTGATTAATTAATTAGCTAATTAATTGCTTTCTTAGCCCCTCTAGTCACATTTTCTTTTGTAACTTAATTTTCAGCCTAATATTGATAAATTTCAAAGTCTAACTGTTGGAAATTATTTTTACTTTTAATCTTCAGAAGCAAGAGAAAAAGAGGAAGAAATGAACAGAGAGAAAGAATTAAGAAAACAAATTGAAGATGTTGAGCCAAGACCATCGAGCTCAAGTGCAGTCAGAGAGCACTCAAAACCATCACCCAGGTGCCTGAATTTCTCAGAAGGCTTCTCTCCTCCTAAACTGTCATTTTTCTAGATGTTCATAATCTAATTTAGGCACAAAAAGATTTTTTTTGTTTATTTATCTATTTATTCATTCATTTATTTTTTCAAGTTTTATTTATTATTATTATTATTTTGTTTTTTTAAGACAGGGTTTCTCTGTAGCTTTGGAGCCTGTCCTGGAACTCACTTTGTAGTTATTCATTTATTTATACTATTTCTCCACTTTAGACAGTTGTAAAAATGCTGAGAGTCAGCTTTGGAATCCAAGAACTATAAAAAGCAGCAACAACAAAATCTAACTTTGTGTCACAAACAAAAAGAAAAAAAAATCATACCCTTTTGAATAACTATTTGCCAATATTTATAGAGTTTTAGAAAAAAAAATGATACAAATATACTTGTTCCATGTGTTTTGATTAAATAGAAGCTTAGTTATTTGCTATTTTAAAATTTATTTCTGGCTCATCTTTTTGATTACATGGTAGAGTCCAATATGAGTTCAAGATTTTATACTAGGGATGTTCCAGCATTTGTGATTTGGTGATCATTTCATTTTCTTCACTTTGAGGGTGGGGTCAGTGTTTTTGAGATGAGGCTTCTCTATGTTTCTAGTTTCCAGAGTAGCTGGGATTGACATTATGTGCCACTATGGCATACTCGGCACTAGTTTTTAGAGCACAGTTTGGGAAGGATATACTTGAGATCAAATAAGGGCTGTGCCTGCTAGGTGAATGCTCCACTTTTGAGCTGTGTTCCCAGCTCTTGGTTTTTGCACATGCCTATGATACCAGTCCTCAGGAAGAAGAGGCAGAAAGATCAGAAGTTCTGGCCAGCCTGAGCAAAAACCACTTCCTTCCCAAACTGTGCTCTAAAAACACACACTATCTTATTTTTGTTTATTTACTTATGTATTTATTTATTTCTGAGGCACAGACTTGCTCTGTAACCATCAATGATGTGGAACTCAGCAGTAATCTTCCTGCCTTTATCTCTTGGAGTCTTAGGATTGCAGATTTGTACCACCATGCCTGATCATTAATATATTTTATATTGTTGTTTGAGACAGGATCTCTCTAGGCATCCCTATCTGTCCTGGAACTCACTCTGTAGACCAGGCTGGCATTACAGTCCCAGAGATCTGCTTGCTTCTGCCTTCTGAGTGCTGGGATTAAATGTGTATGTCACCCCACTCATTTTTTATATATTCTTAAATAATTCTTAGATGATGATGATTAATTATTTTGCCTTTGTGGTATATTGGGAGTCAGTATCACATATCATGTAAATAGTTTCTGAAAAATCTGGAATGTTATTGAAATTTAGTTTAGAAAAAGATAATTGCCTAATACTTCCACATTTATTGGCTTGAAAGGAATTCCAGCACTTGGAAAGAAGAAGCAGGTGGATCTTTGTGAGTTCCAGGCCAACTAGGACTATGGAGTAAGACCATGTCTCAAAAACAAAAACAAAAACAGAAGTTATGTGAACCTCATGATGGCACATGTAATTTTAGCCTATGAGATCCTTCTCAATAAAAAAACCAAAAGCAAAATGAGAACAACAAGAAGAAGCATTTTATGGACATGAAAGACAGGTATCATTGAGCCAATGGAATATCACTTCAGTTAGGAGAGAAATGTCGTGTACATACCGTCTGATTTGTAAGATAGAAGCTATTTGGTCGTTTGCCTTTCTTCTAAGAAATTCACAGTAAAAGCAGTGAGTATTGCTTAAGGATTTACTTCCTAAATTAAAATTGGATTATAGGCATCATTTAGTCTTTAGTTACAAGTGTCTTGTAAACAGTCTGCTGGGAAAACAGAGGAGAGGACTTGACTCTTAGCTGTTTACTACCCAGTGTGTACTGTTTTTCAGTCTCCAGTTCCTGCTTTGGTACCACACTGAATCAAGGGATACTTTCTTTCTTTCTTTTTTTTTTTCTTTGTTTTTTCGAGACAGGGTTTCTCTATGTAGCTTTGCGCCTTTCCTGGAACTCACTTGGTAGCCCAGGCTGGCCTCGAACTCACAGAGTTCCGCCTGCCTCTGCCTCCCAAGTGCTGGGATTAAAGGCGTGCGCCACCACCGCCTGGCCAAAGGGATACTTTCAATATGGAATGTATTTTGCTTTCTATCAGCGACATTTTTGAACATAACTCCATGGACTTAGTTTTTCAGAATACTGAAAATATGTTAAATTAAAATTTTTTTTTGGCTTGGGAATATTAGAAGTATAAAGCCAGAAATGGAATTAAGAGCTAATGCATTCCATCCAGATTTTATGGGAGTATTAGGCATAGATAATGAACCATGAAATTAACATGGATAAGCTTAGTTCCCAGTTTAATGCTTACTTTTGAACTAGTTAACATAGTTAACTTACCATAGCTGCTAAGGATCAGCATTTTGGTTTAATGTTCTCAATGGCCTGATAGTCTTGCATTAAAAAGTCTGTGACTTCTCATATAGCTGGAAAATTGGACTTTAGGACAGTGTGCATGATTGAGCATGAAGTTATTCAGCTGTTATTTGTTATTTATTGAACATCCTCTGTGGTAAACACTCCTAGGCAGTGGGTTATAGCAGTCAGCAAGTCAGAACTCTGTTCTCACTATGTTCATATTGGAGCAGGAGCCCTAAGGAAGTAGATAACAGTCATGAACAACTAATTAGCTGATCAAACACAGTAATTCATTATATAATAAAGATAAACAAAATAAAGTAGGTTAATGGTGACTGGTAGAAAGGTGTGCTCTGAAGCTTCTGAGGAGGTGACAAGCCATATGACGAGCCACAGGAAGAGCGGTTCCACAGAGCAAAGACCCTCATGGTGAACTGTCTTACCCTGTCCAGTTAGTAGAAGGCTACAGTGATGTCACTGCATATTACATCTTTTTTGGAGAGTTGCTAGCTCTTTATGTAAGGATGACATGTGTGTTAGACTGTATTCCTTAGAATATTAAACCTAGATAAAAAAAAAATTCCATTTTTCCCTCAAGTAGCTATGGAGTAACTTCTGTATATCAAACATCATTTTGTGCCCAATGGAGAGCAATGGACAAAATAGGAATGTCTGCTTTCATGGAGCTTACTAGAGGGAGAAGTCAGTGATACTTTAATCTTTGAGATATTTGAAAGATTTATACAATTAGGGCTGCTCAGCTCTTTGGGGGTGAAATCTAAGTATATTGGATGGTTTGCGGACTTCAGAATGCCTGTAGATATTTGACAGAGACCTTAGTGAGAATGAGAGAACAAGGCTGTAGTTAGTGCTTTAAGTTAACGATGTGTAACTCTGGATTAGCATTGGAAAATATTTTGTGTTTTAGGATTTGTGCCCCAAAGTTCTAGAGTAATGCTTATGTCCTCACATGGAAGGCTTTATTTGCTCCTTTGGTGACAACGATTGGCTTAAGTGCAGTTAATAGAGGCATTGGTTAGCTCAGTGGTTTCACAAGTTAGTTTTTTGTAGTTTTCTTCTGAATTCTGCTGTTCTCCTGTCTTTTTATGGGTGATAAATGACTTCATGAAGCTCTAAGGGATAGTGCTTGAGTAAGATAAGTAGATAAAGGTTGTTTTTGTTTTGTTTATTTATTTATTTATTTTTATACAGAGTCTTACTCTGAAACCCTGGCTGGCCTTGAACTAGAACTCTCCATATATACTGGGCTGGCCTTAAATTTAGAGATCTAACTGTCTTTGCTTTTTGAGTGCTGGGAATAAAGGTGTGAACAACCATGGCAGGCAAGATAAAGTAATAGTTGAATACTACATTTATTCATTTAATGTTTGAACTGCAAATGTGGACGTATTGAAAAATTTACCCATTATGAGGAGAGGTAGGGTTTCCTGAGAACTTAGTGCTGTCTCCAGAGATACCCTGGAGAGGCAAAGGGTCTGCAGCAGAAGCAAAGAGTGTCTGTTTCTGTGTTTCCAGGGACACAAGCAGCAGTGGCAGTGAAGACAGTTCTGACTCTTCTTCTTCTGATGATGATGATGATGAGTTAATTGGCCCTCCTTTACCCCCTAAAACGGTAGGAGAACCAGTCAACACTGTGGATGAAGATATCCTGGGCCCTTTACCTCCACCTCTCGGGGAAGAAGGAGAAGATGATGATGATGATGAACTAGAGGATGAAGGAGAAGAGGAAGTAAGTATTCAGAGGTTATGTAAGAATCCGGAGGAGTTACATCTTTAAAGTAGTCTAGAGAACGGTTTCGTGCTAAACTGCTAATCATGAGTGGAATATCCACCACATGGGGACTATAAAAATCAGACTTGGACAAGGACTATGTCTTAGCTGGCACAGGTGCCTGCCTCCAAGCCTGGTGAGTCACGTTCCATCCTAGGACCCCACGGTGGAAAGGACAGAACTGACTCTGAAAGTTGCCCTCTGACCTCTACATGCACAGAGACATGGAACACACAAATAAATAGGTATAATAAAATCGTTTTTAAAAGCAGATTTATCTTTGGTTATAAATTTATTTCATTTTGTGGTGATAAAGATTGAATCTAGGGTCTTTTGTATGCTAGGCAATCCTTTTACCACAGAGCGAGGGCCACAGCCCTTGGCTGACTTGATTACTGTTTTCAAGTTCTCTCCTGAAAATATGTCATCTTCTTACCTGTGTCATTTGCAGCATAAATCTCCTGATATGTCATTCAAGAACATTTAGTGATTCCAATAAAAGGCAGAAAGGGAGAAAATGTAGATTTTCATAAATAGTTATTACAGGATAAGATGATAGGTCTAAATACAAATATGTCAGTAGTCACAGTAGATGCAAACAGATTAAACTTGACATATAACCCCCAAATTCTCAGAATTACAGTAGTGAAAAATATTTTGTGATTCTATTATATTATTGGTAGTATATCTAAAATATAATTACACTGAAAGGTTAAAAGTAAAGAAATATAGGGCTGGAGAGAAAAAAAAGAAATATAGAATAAAGCAGAAACGTACTAAGCAAGTTAGATGATTAATGTCACAAAATTGACATCAAATAAAAAGTAGTCATTATAATTAGTGGTAAGAGTGACTTAATGGTAAAAGGAACATTTTGCTCTTTAGGGAAAAATTGACAGTCCCTAATACTTTGAGCATCTGAGGTATTTCCATTTGTGTCAAGTAAACACAGAATTACAAGGGGAAATTGACAAATGTATAATCATAATGATAAATTCAGATATTGTTAGGACATTAGTAAAAAGGATAGGTTTGAATAATACAAGTGAACAGATTTGATCTGTTGATCCTATATAGTACCCTCATCTATTATTTTCTTTTTAAGCATATACAGGCAGTCAAAACCCATAGCAAATATCTGAGCCATAAAATGCTATAGAAACACAAACTTCTGTGGAACCAAGATGAAGAGGTGCTAAGTTATGGAGTACTGTGGCATGTGAGAGTGGGTTTGGTAGTGGATTGAATGTATCTGGTCAGAATTCTTATGCTGAAGCCCCACCTCTGGGGTGGCTATATTTGGGAGTGAGGTTTTAAGAAAGTAATTCAAGTTAAAATGGATCAAAAGAGCCCATAGAAATAATGTTCTTCTATGAAGAGACATCAAAGCTGTGTGGGATGGTGCAGGCCTATAATCCTAGTCCTTAACTTGAGTCGGAAGAATCACAAGTTCAGGGCCATCCTGGGTTTCATAATAAGATCCAGCCAACAGAATAAGAGAACAAAAGAATGTGAGACTCTAGATAATGTATGCTTACTTTTCTTTACCTTCCTCCCAAGACCAAAAAGAATAGCTGTTGAGGATGTAGCAGGTCAACCAGAAACCAGATTTGCTATCCCCTTGATTATAACCGTCCAGCACCAAGAACTATGAGAAAATACATTTCTGTTGTTTAAGTTTCCCAGTCTGGTATTTTATTATGACTGACTGAACTGATCATTAGAAGTTTGCAAGGCTGAGAAGAGAAGGACAAAGGATATTATAGACACATACGTGCTATAGCATGAAAGTACATGTATGGTGGCAAAATGTCATGTGATCACTATGTAGGGCTACGTTTTTATGCTAGTGAAAGATGAAGCTGATTAGAAAATGATCCAGAAAGCGTGAAGAAATGCTGTCAGCGGGAACAGAATTTGATTGAGCCTTGTATCTGGTTACATTTTTTAGGGGCATGGTCAGGGGTAAGTTTGAATCTAGAGAGAGTGATTGGAAGCAAAAAAGGCACTAGATTAAGGGGAAGATCAGCCTGTCCAGCACAGAAACTTCGTAAGGAAGAGCAGGCTTTGACCTGGAACTGATGTGTGAGTAAAGCCAAATTGTAGCTGTGCTTAAAGTCAAAGTGTGGCTAAGTTAAGGGCTTCAGAAATCCATTTGTAAGCTTAAGCTGTTCTTAGCTTTTTACAAATGTATAAAATGATGTGGCAGTTAAGGCAAGGCTGTTAGTGATGCATGACAAGTGGATTTTAAAAGTGACCTTAATGGTAATGCAAAGTGCGTTAGTGTCATTAGAGATGTAAGTGAAACCTTCAGAGAGAAGACAGAATGGGATTGGGGGATTCCTTTATATCAGTTTTATTTCCTCCTTTCTCTTTTTGATTCTTAGCACAGAATCTCTGAAAGGTTAGGGCTGTTATGGTGGATGACCATTTAGCTTGAAGATTTTGAAATGGGATGTAACCTTGCAGTGGCCTTCTTAGATCCCCAGAAATTATGTTACTTTCAAATGAAGGCTTCCCGTTTTCAGATGATATAGTTTCATATTTGCTGAGTGGAAACTTCATGGTGTGTTTAAGGTTCTAAGTGAGTATGTAACTTTCCTGTATTCTCATGTTAATTCCAATATGTGGGATGTTGACAGCTTCTTAGGTCAAATAACAATAGAAATGGAGCTATAGGCAAAGGATTTCTTCTGATTATCTCTTAAGCATGAATATTATTGTGGGATATAGATGGATGATTTCATATATATGTTACAGATAATTTGCATAGCAGTCATTGACATGTATTACAACATTGAATTCAAATTATTTCTGGCCTTAGAAGTAATTTTATCTTGTCCATTTGTACTTGGAGTCTAGATTGTTGTACTTACTGGTTCAGAAACTCAGTTTAGTTCTTTCAGGAAACTGTTTTAAGGCAATAATCAGAAAAACTATAAGAAATTGTTTTACCAAGATGCTGTCTGCATTTTTACAATTTAGGATGTATCAGATGTTCCATTTGCTTGAGCATTCTGTAAGTGCCTTTGAGTTCTTATTTTTGTCTCTCTCATATTTACATTTATAACTTCAACCTTTTGTATCTTCTTTTCCTTCCCCCCCAGCCTTTCCTCTTTATTTACTCTTTTGTCCTAAGCTTATGAATATGATAAAATCTTTTTGCAATCCACTTTTGTTTGCAAGCTCTTCTCTGATCATCTTTTCTGTTATCGATGTTTCAGAAGTACTGACTCATCCCACGTCACCGTTCATCTTGAGGTCTGTGCTGTCAGCTTCTGCTGTTGTCACTGAGACTCCTCTCGGAGATCAGTGACACTCTAAATATGCAAATCCAGTTTGATGTGGTGGTCTACACCTGTGATTTCATCACTCTGGAAGCTTAGGCAAGAGGATTGCTTTGAGTTTGAAGCCAGCCTGGCCTACATAGGGCATGCTAGGTTAGCAAAGGCTACATCAACGCAAACCAATAACAAAACCAAACAGAATTAAAAGGGAAAAAAGTCTAAATTCCAAGACCTTTTCTCAGGTCTCATTCTACCACTGCTGTAATATGGAGCACAGTTGGCCTGTGCCTTGAAACTCTTCCTTTCTATGGAGCACAGTTGGCGCGTGCCTTGAAACTCTTCCTTTCTATGGAGCACAGTTGGCGTGAGCCTTGAAACTCTTCCTTTCTATGGAGCACAGTTGGCGTGAGCCTTGAAACTCTTCCTTTCTATGGAGCACAGTTGGTGTGTGCCTTGAAACTCTTCCTTTCTAGCCTTGAGCTTGGTTTGCTGCCTGTCCCTGGACTGTTTATTCAGGAGATGTATTTATCAAACTCCTGCTACCAGTCAGGCATTTTCTAGTTATGAGGGACACATAGGGGATAAAACAGATCATCTCCAGTGGTATTTACATTTCTGCAACTACTTCATATTTCTTTGCCTTAATCTAGTCATGGGCATTTTCTTAAGGACCTCTCCTTGACTACTTACCACTTGGTCTTGGATAGTTTCTTGCATCTTTTTGCCCTCATAACTTCTGTTCACTCCCGGCAGCTAGTGAGTGGGTATTGTGCAGCCTAGATTACGGTCCAATTTCTGACAACTCATGAAACAAGCTCTATGCTCTATATTCTAAACTCAACACATCTAAGATCAAACTCAGTGTTGTTTCTCTTGTTAGACACCTGTTTTAGCCTCTTAGCTGGACTGGTTGCTGTGGGATCATCTATGTCAGTGCCTTTTCAAGGCTGCAGGATCAAACACTCCATAACACAAGTCATGTCACAACCGTAGTACTCATTGCCTAGGAGAGGAGAGCAAGGCAGTACAGTGGCAGCACTTCATCTGGGGAGGTCTGCAAGTAATTTAGGTTTGTTGTTGCTCAGAAACTTTTAGAGCACTGTTACATTATATAGAAAAGCAGCCAACTTCAAAGAACTTGTACTTTTCATGGAATAGATGAAAAGAGAAACTGGGACAACACTGAATATGAATGTAGGTACTGCTGAATAGTTTTGTCTTACCTACTTCCAAATGATATGATACAGTAGTGTAAGAAAGCATAAACTGGGAGGAATGAAGAGAAAAGTAAAAGCATGGATGATACAATTAATACAGAATATGGAGGACCGAGCTCTATCCTTGCTGGGTGAGGCAGCAGGGTAGGTAGGCATCAAGTTTTTGCCATCATTGACACCCTCTCCCCTTTAAAAAAAGGATTGTTTAGGGGCAGAAGAGATGGCCAAGCTGTTAGGAACACTTGCTGTTCTCCCAGAGGATCTGGATTTGATTTCCAGCACCCACATGGTGTCTCACAACCATCTGTAGCTCCAGTTCCAAGGGGTTTGATGATCTCTCTGCTCTCTTATAGTCCCAGCACTTGGGAGCTGAAG